GCAGAGGCCGGAAGCCTGTCTCAATTCTCCTTTTTGATCTGAGTTCAGATGGTCATGTATGAACTTTCTTACCTCAGACATGGATCTGTATCTCTTCTGTTCTCATAGTGAAATTCCTGGCAAGGTCACTGGGATCCCAGGAGGGACAGGAGCAGGAGGTGTTAGTTGGAAGTGTAACAGGCTGGAAGGAGCACCTTGGTGGCTGCCTAGCGGCTTCAGTGCAAAGCACCCAACCACAGCCCTGTCTGTTCTGGCCAGGGGCAGGGTAGAACTCTGTTGGTGGTCTGAGATTTCACACTCTGGCAGTTCAGTTGCTTTAGCATGCTGGTGTGCAGCCAGCCTCCTCAGCACTAGCAGGCATTTTGAGGGGATGCTCATACCCAGGTCCATCTCACTGGAAGGCTCACACTGACCTGCCTCAAATTGTGATTTCTCTTTCCTGCATGTTCCCAGAGTGACCATTCTCCCCTGCTGTGCTGTGTTGTCTAAGGACTTGCTTCTCTAGTAGGCCTGGGCACCAGTGTGTCTTCATTGCCTTGGCATGACACCAGTGTGGGTGGCAAGCAGTGCTGTTGCTGAGCCATCTGCACATATGCAAAAGTCCTGCCCACACCAGGCCTGTAAGAGTGCTGGTGTTCCCTGGCACTAGGGGAATTCCCAGGAATCCACATGGATGGCTCCAGCTAATAATCTAGGCAGTAGAGGAGAGGGTATCTTAACTGCCCTTCATATAATCAGATTGATGACTGCCTTAATTGCTATCATAAAACCTTCATCCTGTAGCTGATGGAAGCAGAGGCAGACACCCACAGCTAAGCACTGAGCTGAACTCTGGAATCCAGTTGCAGAGAGGGAGGAGTGATGAGCAAAGGGGTCAAGACCAGGCTGGAGAAACCCACAGAAACAGCTGATCTGAACAAGGGGTTGCTCATGCATGGACCCCAGACTGATAGTTGGAAAACCAACATAGGACTGATCCAGACCCCCTGAATGTGAATGTCAGTTTGGAGACCTGGTGAATCTATGTAGCCTCTGGTAGTGGATCAGTATTTACCCCTAGTACACAAATGGACTTGGGGAGCCTATTCCCCATAGAGGGATAGCCTCTCAGCCACACTGGGGAGGGTCTAGGCCCTGTTCCAAATGATATGACACACTTTTAAGATGCCCCATGGACGGCCTAACCCCACCTGGGGAGCAGAAAGGGGTTGGAATTGGGGGTTGGTGGGGGGCAGGGGAGGATGGGAGGGAGATGGAACAGAGATTGACATGTAAAAGAAGCTTGTTTCTAATTTAAATTTTAAAAAGGAAAAAATACTTTAAAATATTAAAGGGCCAGTTTTCTTGTGAGTGGGACACCCAGTGGGCTGGTGTGGCTCAGCAGGGACAGATGGTATTAATTACTCTTGCTCACCTGGGGAAATGGATGTGTTCAGAAAAAATGTGCCCCATAATGAAAGTTGGCTGGGTAAGGAGCAGCTGCTGGACAGCCCCATGGCTTTGGTGCCCATCCCTGCATCTCTGTGTACTCCTCTCTGGAGTACACAGAGAGGGGGACGCTCTCTGCACAGAAGAGCAGTCAAGACAGTGCAGAGTCTTTGCCAAGGTCAGGGGCCTCACATGAGGCTGGAGTGCTTTAGACAAGGCCAAATGCTTCAGCGTCTGTTAGGTTCTTTGTTTTTGTTTTCAGATTGTTGTTATGTGTGTGTTTTCACAGCATGTATGTAAAATATATCACATGTGTGATGTCTGTGGAGCCCAGAAGAGGGCACTGGAGCCACCTGACATGGGAGCCAGACATCAACCCCGGGGTCCTCTGTAAGAGCAGCCAGTGCTCTTTCCACTCAGCCCTCTCTCCTGCTGGAGATCCCCAGATCTGAAGAGATTTGGCCAAATCCTGGTAGATGTTCACAAGATGCCAGGAAACTCTAGACAACTAGTTCCCATTAGAGTCCCCTTTCTGCCCAATCACGTGTGTGCTGGATAGTTTTATGTCAGCTTGACACAGCAAAAGGCATCTGAGAGGA